CTGAAGCACGAAACCATCCTTCAATCATGAATGGAAATACTATGCCAATAATTTGGTTAGACACAGAAGTTCATAATACTGAAGATAATGTTGACTTTAAAGAAAAATTGAAAAACTTTACTCAATCATTGGTCGTCTTCGATGATGAAGAACAATGTGAAAAACATATTCGACAGCTAGCTTTAAGTGAGCAAGTCATATTTATAGTATCGGGTAGTTTTGGCGGTGTTGCCATACCAAATCTCCATGGTCTGGTACAAGTCAAAGCGGTGTATGTCTATTGCATGAAAACAGAGTATTACAATAACAAATTTAAGAAAGAAACATATCCAAAGGCAAGTACAATTAGGATTATTTAGTTCTCGCCTGAAAATAATGTCCCTGGATGTATTTAGCATTTCAGTCTATGCTTTGATACATATTAAAAATTCGAGAAGATTTTATAAATGAATTAGTTCATAGTTTCGTTTCGTGGTAGATGTGTAAGATCAGCATCAGAAAAGTGACATTGGACTCCAACTCGAATACTGTTGAATCCACCAATTGCATTCCTTCAAAGTTGAAGATGAAAGCTGCAATATCTGAAACGATCGTTACTTTACAGCATTAAACTGTAACCGATAAAAGAAAGTATTTTCTTTTCAAATTCTGTATTAAGATTTCTCTGAAATATTAATCAGATTTCTTCTCAATACACAATTTTAATTTTCTTTATTACATGCTGAATGAGAGGCACATCTAGATTTTTATTCCAATGTAGAGACGCAAACTTATTTTATACCCGATTCAGATAATTAGCTTTCATTAATTATAATTGTTGTTTGAACAATAAAATCCATAAAAGTTGAAGCTAACATCATCTGATTTTTCAATCGGTCCTATTGCTTCATCTATTATTTGAACTTATGTAAATTCATTATGAATGACACTTAAAATTGTTGAGTGGAAAGTTGACAATAAATAGAAGAAGTTGTCTTGATGAAATAGTGTGAGTGTCTTATAATCATTTCTATCTAATTGTTATCAGTACCATTTTCGATATTTTTCATGAATTAATTGACATGAAAAGAAGAATAAAAAAAATCGCATGATTGAATAAGCTCTATTAACCCCTCAGTAAAAAATAAACAGGAACAAGTGTTTTCCGTGAATAAGAAACGATGCTCTAAACTTAGTTACAGCAGGTTAGGTGCTCTAAGAGTCGAAGAGAAGAAAAAGTATCCAGACATATCTTCATTGGAGAACGAATAATATTTTTCCATCTCTACTTACCTTGAGGGTGAGTTTTCAATGGAGTCTAAGATATTTTACACTTCTAATAATGAGCACAAAAAGCTTCCTTTTTTTAGATTTTCACTAAAGTCGAACAAATTTGTTTTATTTACAGCTAGAATCACAAACAGAGATGAGAAATTCTCATCCGTGTTCATTTTTTTAGGTGAAAGGCATAGAAAATGATTCGGATATACTTATTGCGCAACTACAGAAAGAACAAAAGTTGTATCGAAGCCAAGAGGATAATACGCTTCTAGTAAATATCTACACTCCAGAAAAAAATGAATGGAATATCAACCAATCTGATGCCAACAAGCGTTTCATGTGGACTTATCTATTTATAAACACATTAGAAAGCATGGAGGACTCGACACATAGGAGCTTGACTGAAATAGAAAAACGGCGACTTCTTGACAATTTTGAAGAAATATATAAAGATAATTCCGACACCGACACACCTGAGAAATTGAAGATAATCCAAAATTTTGCAAACGAATACTCTCCAGAGGATGCGGTTCGACGATATATCAAGAATTCTGTTTTGAAAGTCTGGTTAAACAAAGCACTACGTCAGAGAGATTTAAATCTCCTTCTGTCTTTTCGATTTTGGATCTTTGATATATGCCGATTATTAAAGCAAAAATATAATCATAAGCAGAATGCAGGCAACAAAACGTTTAAAGTATATCGAAGTGAATTACTCATATCAAAATTGGTTGAACAAATGCAAAAATCTATCAATAGATATATATCGATTGACTCATTCTTTCTCACATATTTAGACGAAAAAACAGCGAAAGATTCAATTGACAGCAATGACATGTCGAACAAAGATCATCAGCATGTTCTTTTCAAGATTGAAATCGATCGAGATAATAAAACACTACCGTGGGGAATTATTTCAAAGGAAAGCAAGCCTGTAGATAGAAAAAAAGTATTGTTTTTGCCAGGAACATTTTTTAAAATTCAATCCGTTGACAATATTAAGGAAGATGATGACTCCACTATTAAATATTCTATAGGATTGAAACTATCCAGTGTAGAAGATGCCGACTTTATTGACTTTGTATCGTATTGGAAGCAAAATACTGAATCAGAAATCAATATAGAATCCCTCTGCTCGTTGATCATGCAAACAGGTCGACTAAACCAAGCTGAGGCTTATTATCAATGGATAATCGGCACATTGCCTTCTAAGAAACAGCTTCATATGCTTTGTTACAACAACTTGGGAAATATCTATTTCGAAAAACGTGACTTTCAAAAGGCCATTAGCAGCTATAACGAAGCACAACAGTTGGCACAAAGTGAAACGATCAGTCAGAAATGGAAAGCTAAGTGCTGTATTTCTTTGGGAAATGCACATAAGGCCATTTATGTAACTACAAGTGCTCCGGACGTAGCTGAACATGCTCTGAAACACTACGAAGAAGCGCTAAAGATCTTAAAAGAAGAAGACAAAGATTGTGTAGAAATCGTGAGATGCCATAGTGGCATGGGCCATATTTACCAACAGCAGAAAAAATTTGGCAAAGCATCAGAAGCATTTAAGTCTGCAGTTGAACAAAGTGTGAAAATGAATTCGGAGGATTCTCTTCATCGAATTCAATTATTAGAGAATTTATCCGTCGTATATTACAACAGATTGGATCTACGTGAAGCAGTAGAGTGTCTTAAAAATGCATTGAAAATCGCTGAAAAATATTTTAATGCAAGTGATCCTGAAATAGCTCGTCTGTATAGAAACATTGGTGATGTGTATTTAGATTATGATGACCTTATTATGGCTCTATCGTCATATCATAGGGCAGCTGCAACCTATTATGTTGCTGATCTAATGGAAGACGAACGTTATAAAGATGTCATGTATCTGATCAAACGTTGTGACACTTTGTTAAAGTAAGAAAATACATGATTTGGGTTACGCGTTAATTGATATGTAAAAAGAAAGAACTTGTTCCTCTTGAAGTAATAAACACAGCTAAGCTGTTCTTTAACAGAATAGAAAAGTATCTAACAAACCATTCTGTGCAGCTGCTTTCTACATTCATTACCTATAAACCTATGCTACCCAAATATTAACAAGAATAACCTCTTGATATATCTTACATATGTGATCCGTAGCAAAAACTCTTCAAAATTACTCTACACTTAAGTATAAGCAATAAATATGCTTACTCTATGATAGTAAAAGTTTCATAAAATATTGCTGCGCTATAAAGAAATGAATTCATTCCTTATGTAAATCTTTCTCAGGAAAGTCACAATTTATCAAGAGAAATGACCTAATTATTATAAAAGCACAGAGTGAAAAATCTATCGAAGTCTCAATTCAACTGAAAGATGACTGTCAGTGTCCAACTCGAATCGAATCGAATCACAAAAAGTTTACAAATTCCGAATTTCACATAAGAAAGCAGCAATTTTAGATGAGATAATCATTTCTGTATTTCGAAGATCGATAGAATATGTATTGACTTCCTGAGTAGATTGCCAATATCTGAAAAAAACTCACTTTGATTGCTCAAAAACTATCCCTTATCTCGAGTTGGGTCGGATCACAAAAACAAGTGACCCGTGTTGGGCACTGTTGACTACGAAAC